GAATACACTGTTGGCCAGTTTGGGTCAGGTGCCCTGGCTGGGCATGAGAAGCTGAAAAATCCTTGACTATAGTCTAAACACTACTGAGCAACAACTGAAAACATCAGTGTTATCAACATTCTTCACATACTGAACTCAAAACATAGCACTGTACCAGCTACTAGGAAGACAGTTAACTACATCCCAGCTGAAACCAGGACACTTCCACAGCTCCAGAAGGTGTTTTAGTAACAGGCTTAGGGAAGCACAAGCCATTCCCTGCTGATCACTTGAGTATCTTCCGCTCTACTTAGCTGAGAAACTAAACTCTTTATTTGCTGTGCTAGGCTGATTTCAGGAAATTTAGCTTCACACCACAAAACCTGAGTACATCCCATAAGACATCCCCAAGAATGGAACATAAACGGATCAGAAATCTTAACGGCAAAGACCAGTGACAACAACCAACTTTCACATGGGAGGGTTTCACTCTATATCTTTCTCTTGATCTCTTTCCTTCCATGAGTCCAGCATACCTGGGAGCTCTCTGTGGGTTTTCTCTGTCCTGCAAATCAAACTTACACTTATCTGTAGTTCCTCTACCAGAAGATTCAGTTTTCACTCAGGGGGGCGGGGAGAGGGGGAGCAGAAATACACACACACACACACATATATCTATAAAAAATACACACACGCACAGAAAAGAAGGAAAACACCCAAGAATGTTAGGCAGACTGCACCACACTCAGTGAGGAGATACAGGCAGAGCAAAGTGGATCAAAGACAACAGCCTCTTCTACTATACTCACTCTCTGCTAAACGGGATGTGGGTGCAGCAGTACTTGCTAAAGAAAGAGAAAGGAAGGTGAGGAGGGGAGTTGATTGCTGTTAAATACTGCCAAAAGACGGAAGATTAAAAAACAAATTGGTAAGATTTTGCCAGATCAAGCCTCTCCAGACACAGAGCTCAAGCAAAGTAAATGCACTGCCAGATCTGCATTTTGGATCCTCTGTGAGTTCTTGCTTTAAACCAACTTCCTCATAACACAGGATCACTGAACACACATGACTGTTCACCAACATTCCCGGGAGTTCAAACCAATGCCACAGTTCAACAGATGCTGGCCAGCACTGTGTGTATGGCAGCAAAACACAGCCTACATGACCACTGTTTTGGTGAAGGCCATTGCTAACTATCCTATTACCAGCTTAGGACCTGGTGGAATTTGGGGATTATTTTAGTGTTGGTTTTGGGTTGGTTTTTTTACATTAAGATATTCTGATATCAAAACCAAACACACCATACACACACACACACACACACTCTCTCTCTCTCTCCTGGTTTGACACACATTTGGGTCCCATCTGCACAACAGCAAGAAACAGCTGGGGCTCAAAAAGAAACTGTTCACAAGATCTGTGTGCAGCCTTTGCTTGTCTTCAGATGTATAAGGAAAAGGAAATGCAGAAAAATAGCAAATTGTTGGAATGAAAATACAAACCCAGGTCAAGTTAGACAGATATCCTCCCACCCCCACAATTCTCATCTGTGCTAGTATAGTATGTCATTATTACTAATTATTTGGGCTGTCATGTGCCTCTAAGATAGAAAGAAATTACTTTTTGCTTATTGAAGAAAATTTATAAAAATGAAAATAACTATGGACATATCCCAGCAGGCATTAAAAAATGGTGTCAGTTTTTACATTCAAGTAGAAACTTTAAATAATAGGGCAAGGAAACTAGTTGCTTTGGCTAGTCTTGGCTGGTGTAAAACACGTTTTTTTATATTCTTTTCTGTAAAGTTTCTGAAACATGCCTGTGATCTTCAAATCACAGCAGACTAGGGGACACACAACTTTTTCCTGATTTGATTTTACCCACAAACAGGTATTATTGTATGACTGGAAGTCCAGCACAGATGAAAAAGGCATTTCTGTTGTGTCAACAATCTCCTCACCATTGCTATAACCCAGTTCATGATCTGAGATGGGCTTTGAGAACCCCAGAGAGCAGAGAAAGAATTAGAGAACCGAATGCTCAGAAGGATCACAGCTGCAAGGCATAAATGTGCCTGAAAGAGCATCAGCAGAATTTGTAAATGAAAAAATATGTTATAGCCCACAAAGAAGGAAAAAAGAAATGGAACTTACCCTACAAGGGAGCAGAGTTAGGGAGTACAGACTGACTGATAGCTGACTGCCACATTAAAAAAAAGCAAAAAACCTCCACAAGCATGATTTAATGTTCTTCAAAGCCACATACCTGTCCCCAAGTGATGAACATGAGGCTTAGCAGACAGGTGTCTCAATGTGGCTGAAACAAAGCCTTTAATGTTCTTTTTCCTCTCTTCTTAATTTGATCTTTTCCCTTTTCCTGTGGTACTGATCTGCACAGAGACTGAATACCTAAGCCCTTATCTTCCTTGTGTATTGTTGACTACGTCCAGTTCAGAAGGGCCTACCAAATCATTTGCTTGATAGTTATAATACTAACCACAGTTAACTTCATATAAGGGATATATTACTTCTACTGAAATTAACAAGCTCCAAACAATTTTAGGCAATGGACTGCACATATGTTCTGGAAACATGTCTCCCAGTTGACTCTTTGTAACTACTGCAATTTGCAAATCTGTCTATCCATCTGTCCATTCATTCATCCATCTTGACTACCAATCCATTCATCCTGTTAGTGGTCCACTAAGTCCAAGCTTTCGTATAATACAACCTTTAAGGAAAAACAGCACAAGTATGATTCAAATCCTGTAATTAGGGTTTAAAAAAAAAAATCTTTCATTTTTTTACTTCAACTTCAGAAATCTCAAAGAATGCGACAGCAGCTTCATAAAGCTTGCCCATGCAATCTTGGGAATAACAACAGTTCACCACAAGGACACATACTTTAATAAACAGAATAATGCTCACTTAGATAAAAGAGGTTTCTTTTAGCTGCCATTGACTGACTCCAATCTGAAAGACACAAAGCTATGGAGCATACAATGTTTCACTGAACCTAACTGACAATTAAACATATCCATCAAATCTCTCTAACTCATTTTGCATTGGGAAGGAGGAAACATGCATTTTTTTATTTAGTATGAGGTTTATTTATTTATTTGAGTATACAAACTACACAAGTGCTGGAAGACTGTCCAAAGACTACTAATGGTAAAAAGTATTAGTGAGAAGAGGCAAAAAATGTAAATTTTTTCTTGAAGTTTTTGCTTTCAAAATTGTGAAGATACTCAAAATTCTGAAGTTTTTGGTTGGGTCTTAACTGGTCTAAACCAGACCTGCAATTTAGCTAAAGCTTTCTCCTGTTTTGTTTTGTTGGGTTTTTTTTCCTGAATTAGTTACATTTCATTAAAATTTGAAAATTTTTTATCAATTCATAAACATGAAGCCTTCCACTACTCCACTCTGTAGTCAACAAGCTAACTATTATTATTAGACAATCACTAAGTTAAATATTTGAATTGCATGCTTTACAATAAAGACAAAGGATGTTAACCCCTAATTCTGTTCTAAAAAGAGCAGTATTACCCGTAGTAGGATGACTATTCTAGTGTCAGTCTTGTTAGGAAATGGACACTACCAGTTACTTCATTTCTAAAGACCCTGAGAGGAAAAAGGTACTAGATTAAAAGCTAATGTTATGTATGTTAGAAGAACACTCTAGGAACATAAGAGGAGAGTGAAAGAAATGCAGAGAGGCACTTACGTGAGTGAGGGATGCCTGCAGTTTTTCCATGGATGGAACACAGACAAAAAGAAAATACAGAGATAGACAAAAAAAAAAAAAAAAAAAAAAAAAAAAAAAAAAAAAAAAAAAAAAATGTAGAAGAGGTGAGGAGATAGAGAACATGGAGCTGGAAAATCAAAATACCACGAGCTGTCTCAAATCCAGCCCTAGGGAGTGGGGCAGGTTACAGGAGTTATCACAAGAGTGGACATCAATTGTGAGGGCTGGCTTACTGCACAGGGCCTGGGATTTCCAAGCAACAAGGCATGTGTACTGTCCCATACTGCTCAGCAATTCTGGTGAGGCAGAAGTTGGCAGACAAAATCAAGACCATGCACAGCTCACAGGGCCTCAAAGCATGCACATACTTGGGCTAGGAATATCGCCAGCTCTGAATTCAGAGGAAAGTCCCGCATAGTGGTTTCAGAAGAGCTATGAAATAGGTGCACAAGTATGGGTGCGATGGTGGAAGGAAGAATAGGCTGTAGATCTAAATGCAAGGAGAATGGGAAAGAAGAATCCCAGGGGTTGTGGGTGGTTGAATACAGATCCTAATACTTGGGTGAGGCTGTGTACAAGGATAAGAGACCACTTCTCCCCAGCCTGCTTTTGTCACATCTCCCCTACACACTCCATACTTTTTTTCCCTCTTTCTCTCCTTCCTATCTTGAATAATTCTGTTTTTTAACTCTTCCCTCTTTTGTTCCTGGTTGAAACAGGAGGGAAAGTGTTATGCCACAGCAGAGCATCCTGCCATTAGAGTGGAAGATTACCCAAGTAAAGCAGACAAGAGGCTGTGGAAATCATCTTACACGCTGCATGGGCATCTTAAAGCAGTTATTTGCAGAAAAGAGAAATCCCCCTCCCTCCCCTTTCTTCCACAGTTTATGGCCAGTCCTATGCTGAACCTCTTAATTTCTGATTTGCAAAAACCATGCCTTGTGACAATGACATTACATTCTCTATGACAAATGCCCTTCTCGACTTGCTGCTTTTTCATATTAAAACTTCCAGTTGCATAGCCCCTTCTCTTTGACAATACAAAGTTTTTACTAGTAACCTAGGGCACAAACTAGTGCAAATAAAATAGTTCCTCTCCCTCCTACCTTCAAAGAAGATTTTTCATTAGTAATGAAATTCACTACAGTCAAAAAGCACAACAAAAACAAAGGGTGCAGCAAAGTCTGCAAGATAAGAAGGCATCATCCATGCATGGCAGAGATTCCCTGGAAAGATGCAAGGAAAGAGAAGCAGAGGGAGGTCTCAGTTTTACTTACGAACTGGCTGTGTCTTGAAGTCCGATGGCAGGCTAATCTCACCCACGCCCTTGCCATTAACTGCAGACAGTCTCACAGAGTAGGTTGTTTCAGGTTTCAGGCCAGTGATAGTGATCATGCCCTCCACATTTGCTGTTGCAGAAACAAGGGAGGAAAAGCAAAGAAAGGCTCAGGCTTTAAGTCAACAATAAATACCATGTTTCTATTGTATACTTTTGCCATGCTCAGCCCATGTAACAGAGCCCTCTTCTGGGCCCAACCTCACATAAACAGTGCAAAGAGAAAGGTCAGAGCTACCACCCCTGTATCAACCAGCTGATTAGAGAGGTGTTGTCCTGGTTCTGTTCTATTAAACCATTCTTATCTCAACCCACGAGTTTTACTTCTTTTCCCGATTTTCTCCCCCATCCCACTGGATGGGGGGAGTGAGTGAGCGGCTGCGTGGTGCTTAGTTGCTGGCTGGGGTTAAACCACGACAGGGGTATTGCCACAGCCTCTCTAGAGGAGATGTAGTGGAGTTTGTGGTAGACATCAGAGGGCATCAGCCCTTGCCCTGTGCCAAGGAGCTCCCTGAATAATGCTCTTCAAGACCATTGTCATGTGGGGTTCTGACTGTAGTAGACATACTCATGCTCATGTGCTGGGCTGCATGATCCAACTGAAAGCAAAGCCCTTGGCAGGAGAGAAACCCATCCATCTCCTTTAACAATCTATAAGAAGGTCAGACACAATGTAAGAGATGGAAAGAACCTGCTGTGGGGTCATCATGATATGAAGAAAGAAATAAGCTCTATTTGCCTGCACAGACACAAAGGGAGAAATGAGAAGAATAAACCTGTCTCTAGCTATGATCACATCACTCCAACGGGGACCTAAAAGAAGAATTTCAGTTCCAGCCAGGATTGGCGGTGGAAGATTCAGCTCTGAAATAGAACTGTCCTCTTCATAGTCCTCCCAAATCAAAATCCCTTTGGTTTACTGGACTTAAGGATACATTTAAGCAGTGTGTATTCCTATAGACTGCTGTAACGAGACAGGCTGTAATGGAAGTTAGACTTGCTTCTGGAATAGGAGGGTTTATGTTCCAAGGGAAAATGAAGGGTAACTAAAGGGGCTGACAGACAAGGCTTGAAAAGCCTTCTGTAGGAAGCACACAGTCACTCCCCAGTCAGCACGTGAAACCTCATTCAATACCAGGCACAGAGTTCTTCACCTTATTCAGACAGGATGGTGTGAACAAGGAAGGGATACAGAGTTGAACATAGTGCTGCAACACACGCTCTGTAGGCGGAGAAGGCTGGTGCCCTGTCACACACGTAGAGCTATCAGCACAGCAGGGCCCTCATTTCCAACTGAGAATTCAAGGTGTCACTGCAAAGCAAATATTTAAGAACTTGTATGGGGCCTTAATATAGGAGCTGAAATGGCAAAGCTATAGAACCCTCCACTCTGACGTTCCCCTAAAGGAAAGAAAGTCTTCTGAGATGCAGGCAGGGGAGGTAACATCTGTTTTATCATCGTACCTTCTTTTGCATCATACAACCTCGAATGCCATTCTCCCTCGTCCAGTGCCCTCCACTCCGCTTTGTACTTGAGGATAGGCACCCCACCGGTAGCTTCAGGCTCATCAAACTCCACCTGGGCAGTACTGGAATAGGGCTCCACTCTGTCAATGGAAGGAGAGGACGGAGTATCTGGGGGAGGAAGGGAAAACAACCAGTGAAGACAGCGGAAAACAAGCTCCAATGACAAAGGAAACAGAAAACTGGGAATATCAAACGCATCCTTGTCATGGCTTCAACAAAGAGAGGAGAAGGGTAGGCCTGAGGCTCCCCTCAGGAGGGGAAGACTGTTAAGAGGGCATTTAAGAATGCTAATTAGACAGTGCAGAGACCTTCATCTTGCTTCTCCTCTAAGAGGCTAGAGACTTACAGTACCTTCTTCAAAAGAGAACAACCAGAGCAAAGTAGCAAGAGCATCCTGGATGCTATTCTGTTCCCACAACCTCTTCCATAGGGCACTTCAATACATATCTTGACCATTCCTAAATCTGTCTCTATGGCAGCCCTGAGAGGACAGCAGAGGCCCTTCCAGTCTGTCATGCAGTCAGACACTGGGCCTCTTTCGCTCGTACACAGTGCTCTTGAGGTGTCTTGCACTACCTGTACTATTAGGGATGTTTTGCTGATTTTGAGAAGCACACGTGCATGCCTACACACATATGCAATGGCTGTCAGAAATCAAAGATCACAGCTCTGTCACAATGTACTGGAAGCGCAGAAAAGAACGAGACCCTTCAGAAACAAGGAAACAGAGATACTGAGGATCTTGTTATCTACAACCCACCCCAATGCAAAAATTTATGAACAGTCTCTTTGAAAGTAGAAGCTGGCTCTCCTGCTACCCCATCAACACAAACTAGAAAAGAACGGTCACCCTGTCACCTCAGCTCAAGGGCTGCAAATGCATTTCCTTATCTCCCTGCCTGGGATGCTCACCTGCTTGCACAAGAATGAACTCTGAGGACTCCTGGCCAATGCGGTTCACAGCAGTGCAGTTATAGTTCCCAAAGTCATTTTCAGAGTCTGGTGTCACCTGTGGAAGGAATGAAGGCTCATGCTCAGATCAGAAAACCGTTTTCACTCTGCCAGTGCACTCTGCATTTTGCTGGGAAGAGAAGCCACAATAAAGTACACATGCTAACACCCTGAGAGCTGTCCACAGAGGGGAGAACTGCAGTGGGCAAAAAGTCAAAGGCAAGAAGGGGGTGGTGTCTTCTGTTACCTGACTTTCTTAGCATTTATGCTCCAGAAACACCACACAACTTCTTGTCTACCAACAGAGTGCCCTATCGAAAGAGTTAACTCCTTCAACATCAGGCACATAAATTATTTGACAGCACCAAGCCTTCCTGGCTGCATATGCCTTCTCCCCTCCTTGCTCTTCCTCACCTCCAGGTAGCTTGCTGATGGAGTGTTGTAGATCTTGATGTTGCTGTAGTTTGAGCTGGGAAGCAGCTGTCCATCCCGGAACCAGGAGATGACAGCACTGGGGTATGCAAATACCTCACAGGTGATGTTCACTTGATTCCCTTCCCAGGTATAGACAGCCACAGGGCCCTGAAGCTTGGGTGCATCTGAAAGACAGACACATTTGTGAAGGCAATCTGAGCCAGAAAATCTCCTGAAGTAGCCCAGTTAGCCTCACTTTAAGAATCCCTCGGCTAGGGTCCAGTTTAATGTGGGGAAGGGAATCTAAAATAGGAAACAGGAACTGTGTTCTCATCTGGGGGGATGGGCAGTGTCTTTTGCTGAAGGACATAAGGAGGAAACGTACTCAGTCCCAAAGGCTGCTCCTAACACAGTGTGGGAGGAGGAGCAGACAGCATGCTATGCATGTAGGGAAGTGCATACTAGGAAGTTCTCCTAGGGAAGAACTCTGATGCACCCAACAAATGGGACTGCGGCAGATTCATGGCCCATAATCTTCCCAAGGTGCAAACAGTACCCCAGCTGGAGAGAGCTAGAGCAAACATTTGCATGTATGCACACAGCAACACATCTCCAACAAAATTATTTCAGACTGAGTTGCCTTCCATGCCCTCTACCTGAACAACACACATTTCCCTAGCCATAGGTGCCTCAGACTCATCACAGGGAAAGGAAATCAAAACAGTCCCCCCTCCAAACACATGAATACCCTCCCCGCCCCATCCTCCACTTCTTACACTGCACTTCAAGGTACATGGCTTGGGAGTCCTGCCCAATGGTGTTGCTGGCTGTGCATACATACTCTCCGGCATCTGTGTACTGTATTTCTTTGAGAGTCAGGGACGACACCCGGGCATGGCTACGTACTACGATGCGCCCATCCAGGGTCTGGCAGGAAAGGAAAATAGAGTTAGAGGCTGAGCTCTGAGCCTGTGGTGCAGACTACTAAAGGGATGCAAGTCTACGTCACACCAATCCTCCAGTGCTCAGTACTTCAGAAATGATCACCTGAGGCTGGGTGAAATCATGGGCACAGAGGGATTTCCAAAAGCAACAAGAAGATTCCTTATCGCACAGGGCCAACTGCAGCGATTCAAAGTACTCAGGAGAAGGGAAAAAATGAAATGAAGGACCAAAGTATCAGATGCTACTACATGTCTCAGGATAGCCGCATAATGTCAAGCTTCTTTCCAGAATGAGAACTGTAGAGATCCAGCTCTGGTCAAAAATTTTTGCCAGTGTGCTCTTGTAGAAAACCTCCCCAACAGCTACTGTGTTTCCACTCAGAGAATTCAGGCCTTCCTCTTTTCTCACTGATACTTGTTTTATTTCAATGTCCTTGAAATGGCTTTAATAAGAACAGATCCAGACCTCAGAACCGAATCAGGCAAAATGAAAGCTCAGAACTTTCACCTGAACATGGCACTGAAGACAGCAAGGTACAGTGAACAGGGCAAGAAAACTATGTGACCCTTCTAGAGACAACCCTGCTTCAAGGTCTTGTGATGCTTCAAGAAAATTCTAGAGCAAACTGCATTGGTTATAAGCCAGTTTAGAAATTGCTCCCACATGCAAGAAAGTATGGGGATGTCAATGACAGAGAGACAAGGAATGTAAAATCCAGGCTACCATCTGTTCAAAGGAGTTGCAGCCACACAGTGATCCCATCCCACATCACTCTTGCCACCCCCCCCGGCCCCCATCTCCTTTGTGACCAAAGCCCAAGTGCTCTCTTACTACATGAAGCATATAAGGCCGCGGACTCCTCCCTCCACCTGGGTGCTTCTGCAAGCTCTTGGTGTTTGTGCTTCAGCTTGGAAGCTTTAAAGCACCAACTCTCTCATCTAGTTTCCGAAGTGGCACAAGCACAAATGAATAAATTAGGTACCCTCATGGCTGTGTCTGCTGCTGCAGTCTGCCACACTTAATGCAATGAATGCTCCAAGAACATTAATTTTCTTGGAAGATACAGGACAAATACTGAGATTATGAGTAAAAACCCTGAGGATATTAAACAGCCAAATGCACTGAGCTGTAGCACAAAGTACATTTCTGGTATCTGAAGTGGTCAGATCCTCTGGGCCTGAAGCCTCCTTCAGTTCTGAGCTAGTGGTCTCAATCTCCAAGACTGATGAAGTTTCTACAAGTAAATGCGCTTACCTCTGTTAGTTCTGAATATTAGTTCATTTGAGCTAGTCAAATTTCATATGCACAAAACTAGTATCCTTTGATGACACAAAACCAATTATATGTATTTTTTTGTCTCTCTTCTACCCTGCACGCAGGTCTACTGCAATCCCTGACCAATGCCCCAGGCTACAAACTCCACTCCCTCTCCTGTGCTTGGTCCCTTATGTTGCTGGGAACAGTTCTTTATTTCATGTACACATGGTGTTGTGTGCATCGTTTCCTAGAACCAGAGAAGGATCTCTTAACATGAGATTAGTCCACTCTGGTATCTTACACAGCCAAATTCTGCTTTTACCTTTCTTCACTGGCTGACTATGTTGTTATCCTTTTGTCTGACTTGTGATTTGACTCCAAAACCCAGCTCACTTCTGAAACTATTACAGTAGGATTCATAAATGCCAAGACTCCAGATCTGCAGAGGCTCCTAGCTTCTTTTAGCTCATGAACTGGGTAAATATTCTAAACACTTCTCTCCATGACCCCACCAGCAGGCAAGAGTATAAACATGGCAAAATACCAACACATGATCATTACAGCAAAGGTAATTTTACATCCAGCATCACCTTCCTTTTCCCCACTTTGTCAAGATCCAATACAAACAAAAGAGTGCTAGGCAGTCATGGTAAAATTATAACTTTACACATACTGCAACTGATTCTGAAGATAAAGCTCTGTTTCTTAATGCAAAAGGCATAAGGAAAGAAAAACATCAGGAAAAATACTCCAAAGAAGAGAAAAATGTCTACCCAAGAAAGCATGCTACTAGTTTTCTTTATTCTTATTTCAGACCATCAGATGCTAACAATTCCTGGCTATTAGAGACATAGGATAGGTAGAAACTTACGAGCCAGATGGAGACACTTGTAATCCCTTTACCTAGCCTCTTCGATTTTGAGGATTTTGGATAACAAAATGCTTCATAGTAATGGGGAGACAACCTAAGGGACACAGGCAGTAACTCATGCCATAGCAACTGCCACTCTGCAGAAAAGGGGACGATGGTTCTCCATAACACCGATTACTACAACTTTTCCTGAGATACAAGCAGGTGTTTTTCTCCAAATTCTGACAATACCATGTGGCACATAGTCGCTATGTATGAAGCTGGCCTAGATTTCAATACTTTAGTGCGAAAGGGGAAGAGGAGAGACAAGCAGGAAATGCATTTACCCCTCTTCCCTCCATCTTCCGGATTTTTCAGTTCTTTCACAAACAAGTATCCATGACTTAATTTCACACTGTCATATCTTCTCCTCACCCACTTTGAACACAGTGGACATCATTACAAAACAACATCCAGAAATCCTGACCACAGCTACAAATTCCAGTGAAGGAAGACGAGTGGTCTCTCCTAGCTCTGTGCTTGCACTGCATTAACCAGGACTCATCTGCGGCTCTTACTATTTGTAAGGTTGCACTAATTCCCAGTTACCAGAAAGGCATTACCAGTTTGTGGTGTAACTGAGGTAATTTTGCTTGTAACTGAGTTTTTTAGCATCTGTTGGGGACAATGTGGGGGTCCTTTTTGTTAGCATATGCTGCTAATATGACTTTCAACAATTCACCAGTATATGCAGGACCAGAATGGTGAACTGAGACATTATGGACTGTGCATAGTAAGTAGAGCTGACCGTCTGAGGAAGAAGCAGCCAACTGCAATTGTGCCTCCAAAGCAAGGAAAGCAAGATTTAACACCCATATATGCTGCTATGACTGAAGCTCATAGAGACTTCCTTACTTTAAACCAGCTAATGCATTAGTAAGAGTGAAACACTTAACGCCAAGTATTCACTCAGCTTCCTTAGAACTGAACTCCCTGCTGCTGGAATACACTGCTAAAAGACCCCATGCTAGCTATTTTAAAGATATGTCTACACAAGCTGCAAAAATAAGCTTCAACAACAGGACCCCACTTGGATATTTTAAGACACAGACGCAGTAAGAAATTTAGAGACAACAAGCTTAATAGTATTAGTGCTCATATTAATAAAAAGCTTGAGACAGAGAGAACAGTGAAAACACTGGGGGGGGGTGAGACAGACACAACTGTAATAGGAATTAACATGAGGCCTGAAGAGATGCAACTACTCAAATTCCAAATTCTTCAACGCAAACTGGTCTAAATATCCAACGCCTTCACTCGCCACAATTCATCTATTCCAACAGGTTATTCTGAAGTAAGAATGGGCAGTATCTTCTCAGCCCCATATGAAATAAAGGTGGATGGTGCTTAAATTAGAGGTTCACTTTGTTTAGGCCACACCAGTCCTTATGGTTTAAGATGGCTTAAAAATAAAAAAAGAATTCAGGATACCCAGAGCCTCCACAAAGTTGATCCTAAAAATACAAATATAAGTCACCCAGTTCTGATGGCTAATTTTGTTCTCTACCTGACCCCTATTATTTGCTTGGAAACATACTTTCTGCTTCATTTTGAAGCAAGAATGCTACAAATCAGGTGCATGTAAAGGTAGGTTATTATTACTGTTTTTAAAATACAGCACTGAATGTGAAATAAAACAGCAACAAAACACATTTGCACCGAACTGAGTTACTGCATTATCCCACACCCCCTCACTGGCCCTTGCAAATCAAAGAGAAGTAGTTAATTTAGCAATTTGGAGCATTTTCTGGAGAAATACAACTTGTGAAAGATTTATCTGCATTGATTTTGAAATGGAACATGATGCAGTTGTCCTTTAAGAGAAGGTCAAACTTAAGGAGTACCATGAGCAAACAGATGAGTTGGCTGGAGCAGAAGAGGCTATCTTTGGAAAAAAATACTTTCCCAGAATACACACTATTGCTAATTCTTAAAGCTCTAGATATGATTCACACTGGTAGCATAGAAGAAAATGGTGAAAGTAGTTATTTGTCAGATTTAACATTTTCTTTTATATTTGTCTTTTTTTTTTTTAAGTGACAACCAGAATTACTCACTCCCAACACAGCTAGTTTGCTCATCCAAAAATGCATTACTACATGCCAAGCAACTTCTAACTCTATAAGCTGGTTTTTTTTATGTATTGATATTTAATTTGTTCACATTATTAATGCTGGTTTAGTTGGCATGGTTACTGGACTAGAGATTTGTTAATCTGTAATGCTTAAAAGAAACAAAACCAAAACACTAAATTTGCTAAAGGTCTGGTAATCTTATACCTCTTGTTTCTCGGGCCGGGTCCACGAAGCCTGGAGAGAACAGATATAGAACACAACAACAGAAAAAAAGCAATAAAAGTTTATCAAAGGTTGCTTTTAGGTATCACAGTGTATGCACCACATTGTGTTCTGTGCACATGCAGGCTCTAAGTTGTATGTATATCTCATGTGTGTGAGGTGATTGCAATTTCCATTTCCCAATAAAACCTCAATTTAGATTTGCATTCAAAATATCCTATAAATTCGTCTGAAAATGATTAAACAAAGGTTAATGACACCTAGAGACTGCTTCTGTTTTTACATATCCAGTGACTATTTCCCTTGTCACATCTCACCATTTCTAGAAACCTGCTCCCAGCATAGTGGGGAAGTGATTCTGATGACCTAGGTCACTAAATTGCAAAGATAGTTATGGAACTGGTTTTCTAACACTGGTTTGTTAGCCACCTGCACACACTGATTAACATTAACACTCATATCATTAATGTGATCATGCATTTGTACACGTTTTAACATGCATACTGTGCCAGGAGTAG